CCAAGTTACTCGGCATGAACAAAAAAATATTTTGAATATTTTTTATTTTTTCCTATCTTTTCATACAATTATAATAAAAAATCACAAAATTAGTCCAATGGATTCAGACTAGAAGCCATAGAGAAAGGATTAGTCCGCTAAGAATTTGGAATTCACGAAAATTTTATGATACTACAGTAAGCGAGACAATTTAACCCATTTTGCGGACGACCGAATACTATTGTGCCAGGTTGCAAAGCGTGAGCGAAATCTGAGTCCGTGTGTCGCGTGATTCGCGAAAACGTGCTCTCGTAGCACGCTTCGCGTGCTATATAACATATCCGGCTAAGCAGCCAGCCGCGAAATATTTGTACGATCTGTTTGTGAGCGAAATGGAATCGCAAAATTATCTATCGCTGAATTTCGTGGCGCGATTAATACGCTGATGCGAGGATGAAAGGCGATTAATACCTACATAACGAGCAATGTGACGCCATATACCTAATAGATCATCAACAAGAGTCTCGTACGGGCTATATAATGATCTGTTAATTCTCAGCAACTGAGGTTTATATAAACGGAATAAATTAGATTCGCGCACAGGAAACATTCATTTAATTTTATTTTTTAAAAGGGTTTTGTTAACCATGTGAAATTAAATATTATTATTCTGGCTATAATTGTAATGGATTTAAATATTAATAATGTTTAATAATTTCTTGCTTTAAATTATTTATACAAAATCTCTGTTTGTATCGGATATATAATTTAAAAAATAATATTATAAAACAAAACATTTTATTAATTTTGCAGATATATTAAACGTTAACATCTTTTTAAATAGAGAATTTCTACTAACAACATCGCTCTTCGTTTCCATTGTTTTGCAAGATGTTTTTGCATTCGAAATAGCTTGCACATATCTAAGTATAGAGAAGAGATGCGAGATGTTGTGTAAGATAATCTTCATTACTCGCTTTTGGAAGGCAACCACGAGTCATACAAGAACGAGAAGAAGAAAAGGATGAAAATGAAAAAAGCCAGACAAACTTCACGAGGGTCGGAGGTACACGAAAAACCGTTAAAATATGTAAAACGGCACGGTCCACTTTGGCTTCCGCTCCTCCTTCTGCCCTTTTGGGACTTCTTTTTTTCTTGCTCGCGTTCTGTACCTTCGATTATCTCCTCCACCATCTTCATAGGGTTCAATGAACCAGGACACGGTGTACATACCCAACGCAGGTGTACCAACGCGTATAATCGTTCGCGAATTTTATTCTTCGTGATATTCAGCATAGAACATTTCAGCAAAATTATTTATATTTTCCTAGCAAATTTAATATAAAAATCTATACTCGATCATATACAATTTTTTAAACCTGTTACAGCTTTTTGTTTTAACATTAGAAAAGGGTAAATCATTTTATAAAATTTATTAACAATCTTTTAATTATAAAGAAATTTGTGTTATTATGCTCCTACAAGTGTATGTGTAAAGATTACAAGAAAAAAATGTATATATCTATTTAATTTTAAATAAACCTTAAAGAAAAAAGTATTTAATAAATACATATATAATAACGCGAAGAGAAAGATACCCTTTAAATTTGTCAAAGAATATGTGGTTAAATAAAAATGTAGATGTCTGTATAATAGCTGCGAACCTCGTTGCACTTTGCTATGTGTAATGAAACGATTCTCGAAGTCTTGATTACAATTAGCTCAATTATACAAGCACAATACGATAGAATGTTAACAAAGTAACTGCTGCTAGAGAACTGACAGGTGAAACAACTCCGTTGGGAATAATTTACATTTGTATGGCAAAAAGATGCAAGAAATATCTTTACTTGTTTTCAAACAGTTGATGTTTGTGCAACTTATAAATAAGTTTGTCTGAACATTTCATAGAAATATTTCTCTTTAACGAAAATAATGTCACGGTCTTAATACTGTAAATATGAATATACAAAATAACTTACTTATATATAAATTATAATATATATTTCACATATTATTTTAATATTATAGTTTTCAGACATATATAAAACATTGTAATAGAACTGATTTAATAAAATTTACAGAAATAATAAAATTAATATATATTTAAGAAAACAAAGACTTTTAACCGTTTCAATATTTTCGTTAAATTTTTAATGTATTCTCTTTGAAATAATTTAATTATGTGCAAAATTATCGCAAGAAAAAAATTGGATTTGATAAGAAAATAAAGCAAGAATTTATTAGAACAAAAAAAAATGCCAACTATAAAAATGCAGAACGATCAGAGAGAAAAGAAAATCACAACACACCCATCAATATTATTTCTGTACGAGAGCCGGTAATTACGGCGCATGCCGGTAATTGTTGCAATTCAGGCATAACAAGATTTAATCACAATAATCTTATCGAAATAATACGTCTGTTATAAAATCGTTATTTTGTTTCGTAAAATGTATAAAATAACGAATCATCACTCGTTTATACAAAAAAGATGGACACGTATTTAACAAGAAAAAATGTATGGAATGCGGATGTGGTAAATCTCTAGAATTGTAGCACTATTTGAGTTAATTTTCTTGTATAATATTTTAAACTTATCCCAAAAAAGATATTTAAAAAATTGATGAGAAAATGTATTTGCTTCGAAAAAAAAACTTGTCTATCGAATGTGCGCATTGAATTTTAAGAGAGAGAGAGAGATATCTTAATAGCAATAAAAGAATTAAATGGAAATATGTGTACGGACGCTATTTGTTGTAATTCCAATAAAATTTTTATATTGTTGCAAGTGAGAAGAATGAAAAGAGTTTTTATTCGACATTATGTGATTAAGTACTGTCTGTCATAGTCAATGATGGATGGTCGCTGAGCTACGATAAAGGATTAGCTTGATTTTCGCAGGTACAGCGTTCTGCACTCAGCGGTATAGTTATTACTTTGCTAATTATCAACAGGCAACGGAGCTCATTGTTTACGACATCGTATAATTATGTCACAGTGTATATTTAAAAAGATGGAATTGCATTTTTTACAACTTGAAAAAATAGATGTAATTAAATATTTGCTATTCATTGTCCTTATAACAGTTCGCACCATTTTGCAATATTAGAAAGTTATTTGCATTTTTATAGAAAAAAGATTTTAAATGTTTTTTAATATTGATTATCATAAAAACATATAAAACTTGTCTTTTTAAAAATTTGTGCTTCCCGAGATGTGATATAGAAATATTTTATTAAAATAAATTTTATTTTTATTTTCTTATTTTTTATTTTGCTTAAATAAACTTGTATTTTCAAATGTAAAAATAATTTTAAGATATTTTATAACAACTAATATTTTAGATATTTAAAAATGTAGAAGACAAAATAATAAATATTGAAAATTTTAATTTATGAAATATCTCTCCCGCTTGTAATTAAAAAATTTTCTAAATTTTATTTAAAAAATTCCAATCTCGAATTGAATTGAAAAATCCATGGTTAAAAATTCAATAAGTTTGAGTCGCATTATATATGTATACATGTATCTATGCAAATATAATTTTTATGAATATGACCATGTTCACTCTCTTTCAACTATTATGATTTAATGTTCATATAAGTGTTCGTTTATCAGGACATCAGATGTCATCAATTGAATGCAATGTCATCAGTATGACAATCAATACAAGTTATTTATATTAATGATATATGGTCCACATAACATTTGAAACTTTTCAAACTATGACCATTAAATGTGCGTAACTATACACTGACAATCATTGATCGGTCATTGTTATTATTACGTCGCTAAACCACAAGTGACCTAATAATTAAAATGCTTTAATAATTTTAAATTTAGTAATGTTAAACTTGGTAATTATAAATTTCAAAAAAATATACGTTTTGTATACAATTATTATATATATATATTAGAATTAATATAAAAAATAGGAGAAATATTAATATGTAAAAGTTATAAAAATTATTAATTATATTATTTAGAAGAAATTATGAGTTCCACACAAAATATATATGATCTAATATTATATAGCAAAAAATAGTTTATGAGTATAGAATTAATTTCACAACGGAAATGTAATTAGATATCACTTATTTCTTTCTCATTTTAATTTAAATCTCTTGATATAATAAAAGAAAATGAAATATCCGTAGAAATAAATTCGGTTTATAATAAAATAATTAATAACGTTTAAATTACATTTATCTACATTCTGAACATTAAAAAAATTGGCAAAAGCTTTTCCAGTTTTATTCACTTTTAATACAACTATCGACGTATATGTGTGTGTCTAGATTTTATTTAGGAGCAAATTTATTTAAACAATTAATTAGACGAGATTGTGTCTGCATATCAAACTTTTTAACGATCACAGTTGAAAAATTTCTGTTAAATTTAACAGATATCACATGTCCCAAACATGTTAATATTTTAACACAAGAACTTCAAATTTAATTAAATGCAAAACTTCAAATTTGAAATAAATTTTGTGTAAAATTTTTTTCTGTAAATTTTAACAGAAAAATTTTCTCACTAATAAAGCAGAACATATTTATTGTGTAAAATTGAAAATAGATGCGCATTGCGTTATTTTGACATTTTTCAGTTCTTTTAATAATTTAACATTTAAGTTCAATTAACAGAACAGTAATATGTTAAATTAACACATGTGAATGTGTTGAATATTTAACACAAAAATTTTGTAACGGAGACCGTTTTTGACAACAAAAACCCAAATTTTCCTACTGCGTAGGTATATACTTCTTTCGTATATTCATCTATCTTCATCTACGATTATTATCAAAACTCGATGGCAACATCAGCGTTACGGTTAAGAGAAGGTCGCCGTTGTCGGTGAACCGAAACAAGTGACCGAGTAACTAGAACGAGACTCGACCCGACTCGCTGCCAGTTAAGAGTCGAGGAGGAATCAGCGCGCGCGGATGATCCATCCAAGTGGATCGTGGGAGCCCGTCGCGAGATTCGAATCAGAAATCCACGATGGTGGTACTCACCTATGATAGTGTGAACCCTCACCGACAGCTGGGTCCTGAGAATGATCGCGTTCTTCCGGCTGCAACAGAAAGAACAAATAATACCGGTCGATTAGTATGCGCGTGAAAAAATACCGATTGTTGCGTCGGGTTACGTATTAATATGTAATTAAAGGAGGGAAGAGAAGATAGAGCTAGAGGAAACCTATTGCCCCACTGAAGCGCAGCCAGCTATTATTCGTCCGCGGATAAATGTTAATTAGTTACGGTCGCGAATTAATCGCGTTCGGTAATTACATAATTAAAGCCCGGCGTCCTCCTTAAATAAACCACGTATACATATACACTAGGGGAACGTTAATAAATATGTTGCTATGGTATGCAGCTGTGATGCATGCGTTCTCGAATTTAGATTTATCAATTTGCAATTGTAATATGGTCTTGCCTCTATTGTTCTGACGTAACAGAGCACGATAACCTGGTAACGCAATTGTGACGAATTGTTTCTTGAGTCTTAACTTAAGTAAAATCATAAATTCAGACGTCCTGGAATAGATTGCCCCATAGACGTTCCAGGAAGTTCCTATGAAATGAACCAGGAAATATATGTCACCATGTGACAATTGTAACGAAGCTCTACTAGTGGCACTAATTCGCGCAAGTAAACGCTCATAGATTCCGGCTAACGAATGTGGCTTCTCGCAACAAGTCCGCGTTCCGATATATAAATTGGGTTAAAGTGGCGCGAGACTCGGCTTCTCCCCGTGTGCATATATATGTATACGTATCCTCCTCACCTTGAACGGCGCGAACTTTAAGGCCCTGCGAACCTTCCCACGCCACGTCGCTGAGAAACCGCGACGACCGTATAGACAATGGTTTCTAGAAAAAGAGGGAGGAAAGAAAAAAAAAGAGGCGACGAAGAATCGTCGTTGGCACAACGGCCGATGTTGTGTAGTGGCGATGTTGGCTGCGCGGAGATTAAAAAAAAATCCGGTGTACACTTGTTAATAATGTTTCCGCTCGTTAAATGAGGGAGGCAGAATGCGATTACGCGCCCTGAATTTCTCACGAATAATGGCGGCAGTAGCAGCATGTTGCAACGAGACGACCTCTTTTGAATGCCTACAAAGGGCAGAAATATAGAGCGCAAAAGGACCGATTCGTAGAATGCAACGATTCGAGTATTGTAACGTTACACAATATTGCGTTACACAAAGTTAAATTAGAATATATAATATGATATTAAAAAATATAAAAGAAATAAGAAAAATATTTTGTTTCTGTTGTTTGATTTTATGCATTGAGCTTTGTGATCAATTATATAATATGAAACATATTTTGAAAATATAATTAAAAAATAATTTTATTGGAATATAATATTTCGTGTAAAATATATGTAAATAAAAGATTAAAAATTAATTTAAAAATAAATCTAAGGATGATATATTTAATTATAATTAATTGAATATATATTTTAAAAGTGCATAATTAATAACATTTTTTTATTACTTTTACTTATTCTAAAACAGTAAAATTGCACGCTAAGTTAACATCGTAAAATATGCATATAAAGCAAGCTACTCAATAAAGGATAAAATCATTTACGATAATGTACCACTATTGATCCTTCATAGAATTAAATGATGCAAGCAGATAATAGACACATTAAGATTCATTGGAATAACAATATCATATTTAATGAAATACAATTTAAAAATTCAAAAATTTCTTTAATAAAATTAAGACCGTCCGAAATGATCGGAGAAATATTATGGCCCGTGATTTTTCCTCCCTTCCTAACTCGACATTAACGAAAACGCTCGTTTGAGAACAGTCTGCTCGATGCACCGCGTTGAATGATATATCACCAGGCAGGCAAAACAAGCAGAGCCGCCGCAACGCGACGATGTTCCAGTGGCAACGACCGCGAAGGGTTAACAAACTCCAAAAGTGGAGGTTGCGCGAATAAATTAAAAAGTTTCAGGCATGGGGCCAAGTTCAATGCCGGGTAATATCGGCCGGGTGCGCGTGTTCTGCTTCCTCGTAAACACCCAGTCTTCTGTCCCGACCGATTCGCGATAACTCCTTTTATAGGAGCCTAATAGCGTAATTCATAAAAGGGTTGACAAGATGCTTCGAAATGTCGTAAATTTTGTTCATTTTTACGATTCAATTATCATGTCAATTAAGAGAATATCAGTTTTGATTACAATTATATCGGTATCAAGACTTTATGACATTTAAAAAAGAATGTTGCTTAATTACGTATATAAATAATTAAAAATTGACATTTTATAAATTTTTATTTCTGTTTAAAGGAAGAGATTCTCATTTTTATATGTGTATATTTGATTTTTACATATACGAAAGAGAGCAGAACGTTCGAACCATCAATATTTTCGCATGCATGTCGTAAATGTTCATTTTTACGATTCAATTATCACTCAATTAAAAAAATATAAATTTTGGTTTCGTTATTTTATTGCAATTATAGGTATCAAGACTTTATCATATTTAATTAAGCAAATTTAAACATTGCTTAATTACATATATAAATAATAAAAAGATTGACATTTCATAAATTCATTCAAAATTGTATTTTTGTTTAAAGAAAGAGATTTCATTTGTATATATGTGAATTAAATTTGTACGTATAAGTATTTGATTTTTACATAAGAAAGGATGATAATAGAGTGTTCGATCCATCAATATATTCGTATGCATGTCGTAATTTTTTTCATTTTTACGATTCAATCATCATGTCAATTAAAAAATATATAAATTTTGGTTTTATTTTATTAAAATTTTTTTATCAAAATCAAAACTTTATTATATTTGAAAAAGGACCCTGCTTAATTAAATATATATAGTAAATAATAAAAAGATTGACATTTCATAAATTCATTCAAAATGTTATTTCGGTTCAAAGGAAGAGATCTCATTTGTATATACCATATATGCGAATAAAATTTGTATGCATGTGTATTTGATTTTTCCATAAGAAAGAAAGATAGTAGTGTTCGATTCATCAATATTTTCGTATGCATGTCGTAATTTTTTCATTTTTACGATTCATGTCAATTAAAAAATATATAAATAAAGGACCCTGCTTAATTAAATATATATAGTAAATAATAAAAAGATTGACATTTCATAAATTCATTCAAAATGTTATTTCGGTTCAAAGGAAGAGATCTCATTTATATATACCATATATGCGAATAAAATTTGTATGCATGTGTATTTGATTTTTCCATAAGAAAGAAAGATAGTAGAGTGTTCGATTCATCAATATTTTCGTATGCATGTCGTAATTTTTTCATTTTTACGATTCATGTCAATTAAAAAATATATAAATAAAGGACCCTGCTTAATTAAATATATATAATAAATAATAAAAAAATTGGCATTTCATAAATTCATTCAAAATGTTATTTCGGTTCAAAGGAAGAGATCTCATTTATATATACCATATATGCGAATAAAATTTGTATGCATGTGTATTTGATTTTTCCATAAGAAAGAAAGATAGTAGAGTGTTCGATTCATCAATATTTTCGTATGCATGTCGTAATTTTTTCATTTTTACGATTCATGTCAATTAAAAAATATATAAATAAAGGACCCTGCTTAATTAAATATATATAGTAAATAATAAAAAGATTGACATTTCATAAATTCATTCAAAATGTTATTTCGGTTCAAAGGAAGAGATCTCATTTGTATATACCATATATGCGAATAAAATTTGTATGCATGTGTATTTGATTTTTCCATAAGAAAGAAAGATAGTAGAGTGTTCGAGCCATCAATATTTCCGCATGCATGAGAGTGAAGTGTCTTTTGAAAATGGACATCGTAACTTTCTCGGAGAAACAACGAGCGGTAGTACAAGAGAGGTCGCCGAAATCTACCTGAGAAAGGCCGGAGAAACTCTCATGCAAATGCGATTTACCTCCGTGGCGTGGCTACCGCTAGGTTGCCAGCAGCAAGTGCACCCTCGGGAGAAGCGAGAGGCGAAGCCGTAGCAACGTTCCCTGGCAAATGGAATGCAAAATCCTGGACGGCGCGAACGTTCCGAGAAAACTTGCCCCGTCCATTGGGCGACGAAAGTCTCCCCGGGCTCGAAAGGATTTCCAATCTCTCTTAATGGCGCATTAATCGTGATTCCCCAGAACGAGGAAGAGCGAAGAGAGGCGAAATGGCCGTTTCCCTTAAACGCGATAACTTCGTCGTCGGCCGACAGTTTTTCAATTGGCAAACGACGCACTGATGGTCGGCGAAGTTGTTTCCAATATCTGTTATCGATACTTCTCGTCTTTTACTCTCACGCGCTCTTTAATTCAGAAGTTTGCGCGCGGCGAAGTTACGGAAGGAACACGGAGGAAGGTACGTCGAGAAATCCAGCGCCTCGATCGAGCATGAAATTAAAGATGTTCGGGATGTCGAGAAGTTTGCGCGAACGGGAAGAGAACTTGAGCTGACTTGTGTTAATCTTTCATTAATGTACGGGAGTTTTAATTGATTATATAATGCAAATACGTTCTCCCTCGGAAAGATATATATCCAATCTCTGCACTGTACTCTCCATAAATATATATACAGGGTGTCTCATATAAAGTGTCACATTGAAAATATATAGGTAGAGCTTGTTATTTAGAGATAATTTTTCCTCGGCAAAAATATTGAGGCATCGATCATTTTCGAGTTATAAGCGATTGAAAATAAAGGGTTTTTCGCAAACTAAAAGTCTTGTGCAAATAATTTCAAGTAGAGTTTACTTTAATAAAATTTGGGAACGTTCAAAAATATACAATAGATAGCCTATCTCCTTTTTCTGAGGAAAAATCGTCTCCAAATAACAAGATCCACTTGTATATTTTCGATATGACATTTTATATCAGACACCCTGTATATCGGTGTACAGTGTCGTGAGAATTTCTCTAGATTAATTACCATTTAAAAAATTGATAAAATATTAAAATTAATTTATAACATATATGTATGTGTAGAAATGAAATAAAATTGCATCAAAATGTAAAAATTCGAAAAAAATTCCATATTAATAAGAACAAAA